AAAGCAATAAACCTTTAATGGTTTGTTTTAGATGGTGCAGTAACTGCTCAACCGCTGGAATCATGTGGTTCAGATATACCAGTGCCACTATCTGACGGATATTGGGAAACTCGTGAATTATTTATTCCACTTGTATGTCGCAGTAAACAGTGGTCAAAAGAAGAAGTCCACAGGTGTTTATCTGACAAGACTATAATAGCGAGTGGAGACTCTACAGTGAAGCAAATTGGCAAAATCCTGATTGCTCAGTATGAATATCATGGGTTTCTTGAACGGTTTCATTTCATGGCACCTAGAGCTGGGAGAGACGAGGAAACTGTGCCAGAATTTGTATTTGAAAGTGACCTGATTGACAGTATCACATACAATGAATGTCAGTCTAAGGTTTCCTTTGTGATGTTGAACTTTTGTTTCCACTACGGCATGTGGTCAACTCAGTCCTACATAGAACGTCTATTTCGTGCCAAGTTGGCTGTGGAAAGATTTATAAAACGATGTCCAAATTCTAAAGTAATGATTAAACTATCACACCCACGGGAACATGTATTTAGAGAGCAATCTGTCCACAGTAGTAATTGGGTATTTTATGATCAGAACAGAATTATTAGATACGTATTCGCCGGAATTGGTGTACTGTTTCTTGATATATGGGATATGGTATCTTCTTCGCTTGAAAAAAATATGCTCCACATGTCCAGTAATGTGATACAACAAGAAATAAATCTCATGTTGTCGTATATTTGTCATGAAATGGTTGGCAAGTAGACAATCTACAATGTACATCAAATCTGTTTTCATGAATCACTGAGTGCTTGGAATGCAATGTTAATTCAGTCTTCTGGACACAACTTGCAAAATTGGTAATAGTATGTACATTATGCACAAGTCGCATTTTAATTTTAAAGATTGATGGAGGTTCCCTGAATGTAAATGTCTTTACTCCCGGAACACATTGAAAGTTAAATTGTGTCAGGAAACTGTGATGAAGAATTTAAGTACCCTTAGAACATAACTATCTAGATAGAATGAACTACCCTAGGACAACTAAACTATCTAGGGTGAACTACATTTAAACTAGGTAAAACTGATCTAGCCAGGAAAACTGAACTATCTGGGGTGAGCTACATTTAAACTACGTAGAACTGAATAAGCCAGTGAGTGAACATTCAATTATCTAGATACACTGAATTTAGAGAGAAATAAATACGGATGAGAACTTAACATAAGGAAAACTGTGTTTCCCAAAAGGCAGACCAGTGATTCTTTTTATTTTGAAAATCATTTCCATCAAACACTACAAAAGATTGATTGTACCAAAGGCATTTACGTCTGTGTAGAATGCAAGGATGGCTTTTGATGCCATACACGCACCTCTTGTTTACACCCACCTCGTTTAATGTGTGCATCGTATAATGTGTAGAACTGATATTGTTTTCAAAATCTGAGAAAGCTACCTTTTACCTCCTACGTAATATTAATATTTGTATTATTAAGCTCTTCTACATTATGTTACAACTCGCCAACTTAGAATTCAAGTTCCAATCCTTCCAATTGGTCAGCCGTTGATTTAAGGGAGAAGATCTCGTGTTTGGACATTCTCTCAACAAGCCCAGGGAAGTAATTTTACGGACATTTGAGTTGAATAAAGACCGTGTTGTTTAACTGATTCAACGCAATGCTGCTAATAATAAGATGGCGTCATATCGTCCAACTGAACAACAACTCAGCGACAAGTATCCATTTTAGATGACGACGTTCACTGAGATATCACCAAATTACATCAAAGTATGCAAGATTTGCGCAAGGCAGTCAATGATATACGTCATCTCCAAGAAACCATTATGGCGGCATCTACCAGCCTTGGCAACAGCGATGGCACTGGTCTTGCCAATTCTTCACTGAGATTAGTAAAGGAGACATCTCCGACCAACATCGTCTCAACAAGTAATCATTCGATTGATCTGCCTAAAATTGTGTCAATTTTAATACCTTATATTATTAATGACTTATCAATACCTACTCATGAACTATCGGAGATTGATTACTGACTGATGGGCAATGAAATTAAGATTAAAAGAAAACAAGACCCACGTTTAAACAATTAGTGAATTTCTCATGCCCTCTGGCTGTAATGTGTGAACCTTGCCCTGGTGAAAAGAGTTAAAACTGGTACCTAGGATATCATTGCTATGGCTAATGGTTTTGGAGGTGGTCTTTTTTATGATTACCATATGCATGATGGCAGCAGAAACAATATTAAGATTGATCAGTCGGACAAGGATAGACATTTTCATAAGACTTACACACTTACAGTACATTGTATTTGCAACATTTTTGTTTGTGTAACCCTTTGTGCGCAACATCCGTGACAATCAAGATTTTTCCGCTCGTGGATGTCAGTGGCAGAGTTTGGTTGTATGTAATAATTACAACTTTGAGAGGGGTTGCTTCCGTTCTCATTGCCCTATTTTGCGTGTGTGTAGTTCTTGCTATGAGACCCAAGAAATGAGTAAAGCTGAACTGTTAACTGGCAGTAGAGTTACATCGGAAAAGCCAGCAGTAGCAGATGGCCTACCCAGGTATGGACCCTGCTTCCCAAGAAAGGCAGTATTTCAAAAATGGCTATACAGGCTATACAGGCTGCATTGGAGACTGAGTCACACATGATGACTGTAAAATAAAGACTGGCTGAGTAGTACCCCAAATTTAGCAGAGTGCTGAATTCTGATTGTGACGCAGAGGTGACGGAGCTGGAAGAATGAATAAAAGAAATGGGGGTAGGACAATTTCAACCAAGCCCAATAGCAGAGCAGCCATGCAGTGGGCGACAAGAGAGAAGACCAGAAAGGTGGAGCCTGATAAGAATTGAGTTTTACAGATGTGGTGGACGGGGGCATATTAAGAGAAACTGCGCTACCCCACCAAGCAGACATGCTGGAAATGCATCAAAACTAACCCCAGGGACTAGGGCTGGGTCGGACGTGCATATCGACCCCTCCCTATTGTACATGACCATACTAGGGCGACAGATGGTATATTTGCAGCAGAAAAAGTAGGTGGATTGCAAAGATATTTTTTAAATAGATACTGGGGCATCTGAAACATTGCTGTCAAGAAAACAATATCAACGTATACTTATGATGCAGTGACCTGCATTGGAAGTAGAAAAGATGCTAAAAGCCAGTATTACTCAACCAAGTTGTAGTTCCTAGACCTTAGACGATATTATGTACGACAGAAATGTATATGAGGAGTTAGAGCGTTCGGAAAAAGTATTGGACAGACTGCTGGTAGCCGGGTTAAGACTGAAGCCAAAGAAATGTGACCTGTGCAGAACCAGTGTAATGTATTCGAGTCATATAGTGTCAAGAGATGGCATAGCGATGGATCCAGACAAAGCGAGAGCCATAAAGGAGTGGCCAACGCCAAAAAGCGGGAAGGATGTGAGTTTTTTGGGGACGACGTCTTACTACCGCTGGTATGTAAAAGGATTTACCGAGATAGCAGTATCTATGCATAGATTAAAGGAGAAAAATAGAGTGTTTAACTGGGATACACAATGTGAAATTGCTTTCCAGGTATTAAAAGAGTGTCTGATGTGTGCCCCAGTACTAGCGTATCCACGGGAAAAAGGAGAATATGTTCTGGATACAGACGCAGGTGAAACAGGTATTAGTGCTGTCTTATCACAGGTCCAGGATGAAATGGAAAGGGGGATAGTGTATGGCAGCAAAAGGAATTATTGCGTCACAAGGAAAAATTTACTGGTATTGGAGAATTTCGTGAGATACTACAGGCAGTACTTGTACGGCAGGAAATTCACCATCAGAACTGATCATGCAGCTTTAAGGTGGTTGTTGAGTTTTAAGTGTCTAGAAGGAAAACTCGCCAGGTGGATTTAAGTCCTTGGGGAATACGAGTAAAAGGTTATTGGGGAGGAAAAATCCACAGGAAAGCTGACGGGTTATAAGGAGACCATGCAGGAAATGTGGTTGTCAGGGAAAACATAGCGTTGTGATTTCCAGGGCCGGAGAGTATAGCTGTTCATTGCAGGATACTCCCACTTGCATGAGGTGACACAGAAAAGGTGAATATGGGAAAAGGAATAGTTGGACACCAGGATGGTGGAAACGGAAATAGGAGACCCAGGTATGGGCTGTCAAGAATTCAACCTAAGGTGAGCAGTGATCAGATAAAGGAAGCCCAGACGGCTGATGCGGAAATAGGTCCAGTAAAGAGGGC